ATTTGTTAGAGAACTACAAGTTCTGTTCTCTAAAGTGTGGAACGCTTAGCAGGTCCCTTCCTCTTTGGGAGGGGGAATCTATTGTGGTCAAAAAGGACCCGCGCAATGACTGCATGAAGTATAGCGGTATAAGCCTAATCCCGATTGCGTCAAAACTGTTGGCGTCCGTCATTATCCGCCGATCATAAACTATATGTGACGAGCAGACCCGCGAGGAGCAGGTTGAGTTTCGCGCCGGTCGTGGATGCATCGATCAAATCTTCACCCTCCGACAGCTGCTAGAGCACCGTCATGCTTATCAACGACCGACGTTCATAGTATTCTTGGACATTCGCGCGGCTTTCCACTCTGTTGATATAACCGCACTATGGAACTGTTTGTTGAGGAATGGAGTACCTGAGAAGAATGTGTCGATCACGAAAGAGTTGTATTGTCATACCTCATGTTGGGGTAGGGCCTATGGCCAGCTTCCAGCACCCTTTGCCGTCTCTAATGGAGTTCGACAATGCTGTCCTATATCTCAATTACTTTTAATTTTGTCATTGAGAATGTCCCACAGAATACTTTATGCGGTCCAGCAAACGGCGGAGTCCAACTCCTCCCGGGGAACAGGGTCCTTGAGTTAGAATATGCTGATGACATCGTCCTGCTGGGTGACAACACAGGTTGTCCAAGGAGCTTGGAACCGCTTGTCGATCGAGGTTTCCAGATATGTTATGGTATGTGCTTTGCACCTTCCAAGTATAAAGTGCTTGTTCACGATTGGCAGGAGCCTGTTCAGTTCAGTTCAGTTTGCGCAGGACAATGTGTGGCCTGGGCTAATCTTGCGTCCAGATTGATGTGTTGGCTGTTCTTGTGGATTTCAATACTACGAGTCAATAGGTTTTTCTGAAAGGCAGAAAGTAAGGCGCAGTATCTCGTCCTGGGCAATGGCGCTCAGGACTGATAGATACCATCAAACTATTTCAGGGATGGCAGAAGCCCGACAGTCATCTAATGCCCTCTTGAAGTCTATGACGTTCGAGCAGCTTGCCACATTTTTAGGTAGACTATTCCAGTAAGGTATTACGCGACTTGTAAAGAATTTGGCTCCAATGTCCAGCCTTACAAGACTACATTGCAGCCTAAAACTATGTCCCCTAGTGCCACTGTGCCTGCACTCACCTTCTGCGGTGATCAGCTAGAAGTAGTTGACAGCTTTAAGTACTTCGGGAGCTTAATCACAACTAATGTAGGTATTGAGGAGGAGATCACATCACGAACAGCTTGACGGTTGCGAGACCTGGGCTTTTCGAGCGGAGGATGCTAAGTGACTTTCGGTATTCGACCACCGATGTCTCCGAAGTATTGCTGGTGTCTGATGGGAACATCGGGTCAGCAATGACGAGGTTCCCTGTCGTGTGTTGGGTGTAAATAATTGCTCTCTAACAGAAGTAATCGCTCTACACCGCCTCCGTTGACTTGGTCACATGCTGCATATGCCTGCCCATCGACTACCTTTCCGCGATCTCTTTGCACGTGCCGGACAAGGCTGATAGAAACGCCACGGTGGTCAGACCATGAAATGGCGTGGAGGTATGAAGAAGCTGGCCTCAGATTTGGCTTTGGTTGGTGCAGCCTGCCTTCAAGGTTGGAGCCCAAGGGATGAGGATTGTCGTTGGTTAGAGACTCTAATAGATATTGTCGCTAATAGAAGTCAGTGGCGCGAATGTTTTACGGTCTGCCTGTTGAAGTCCCGTGCCCCATAAAAAACGATAAACTGAAACTTTCAAAAAGGAAACGGTGAAACAGAAAAGTGTTATCCCATTTATTTGTAATTTTCTATTTTAACGGTTACGCCTTTTTTATGATGTTCTGTATCCCAAACCCCCAACCGGATACGCATGCCTGACGAACGGCAAGAACCGCGAAACCGGTCGTGTGCTTCTAGGGAAATTTTGTCCAGTTATTCACATACTACTTATTATGAAATATATATAACATCAGTACTTATTCTATACTTACTTACTTATTCTATTAGTACAATTGTGGTTTCCAAATTTGCTTTGGCCACTTATTTCTTCTGGACATACTCACTTCTTCAGAGAGACCAGTTTAGAGTATCGACCGTTAAACTGCAAATCAACCAAATTGCTCCAGCTTAAGCGTTTTATTCACCATCCCGTGTTTAGTTTACGGTGAGATTTTGAGGGTTAATCTAAGTTACCTTTATTTAAATGTAATAATTGATTGATTTTCTGCACAACTGTATGAATGAAAGACTCTCGCAGAAATACTAGAAAAAAATCTATGCATAGTATCATTGAATAAAGCTACCAAAAGAACATATATATAATACCAATCTTACGGAAACGGCACCAAAATAATCAAGAATTATGGCACTAACAATAGAATCTACCTAATCAGTGTTTAAGGACCTCAGAATATGGAGTGGGGTATTGCGGGATTTGGTGTTCCACCAACTTCCCTCAATAATTAATTTTTCTAATCTTATCGTACTCATGATGTAGCACTTCTTTCAAAGCTTCTCACAGACATCTCACATCGTCGATTATGTGCAGCTCGGGAACAGTGAACACATGAGAACCAGACTGGTTTTAGACCGTTTTAAAGACGCATCGACCATATTTTGAACGTCAATCATATTGTTGAACACAGGCAGTCCTTCCCGATAAAGAGAAATTATATCCTATTTCATCTAAAAGCTGACTTCTATTCAGTCAACAGCAGTGTAATACACATCTTATTGAAGGGTGTGGTTCAAAAATTATTTCTCTACTGTGATCTTGGTATACAAAAAGCCAAAGACGCGTTCGAGCTCACGGCTCTTTTTCGACATAAGTTCACTATGTAAAGCGGTTTTCACCAGGGTTGTTACCTTCCTTATCAACTTTGTAAAAGGTATGATTCTGGAAATAACCATGTCCTCCAACAAGGATATCGAGATTGGTATACTCCCAGTTTGCAGGCTGTCTGATTGGATGTGCACAAACAACATTGTACTGCTGAGTGAAGATTTAGGTAAGCTGCCAGCTTTTCTGGTTGGGTCAAGTGTTTGCTTACCTTTATCTAGCACGTATCTTACACATCCAGAGTGTAGAACGTTACTACATAACTGGATTGACTGAGCTCTCAACCTCACTCAAACAGGGGACAATGGAGAAAGCACACGAAGTTAGCTGTCTGGGCAGCTGCATCTCGCTTGAAGAATTAAGTGTCGACAGACATACAAAAGGAGCGTTTAATGTTAACCAACTTGAGGCATTTCGAGCACCGCTGTCATAATCAAGCGTATGCCACAGCTGTCAGGCCGGTTCTTCTGGATAGCGAAGAGACGGGGTTGTGATGTGAACAGAACAACAGTTGTTCATCTCTTTAAGTCAAGTCATGAAGCGCACTAGAACTATTGCTTTCAACGTTGCATTGCTTTAGTTTGGTGAGATCATCGGACAAACAATGGGCGTTCAGAGGAGTACTATCCAGTAATTGAAGTCGCTCATTGCAAAAAGTACTTAATCCTCATGAAGTAAAATGGGAGTGGTGAGTGGTACGTATGTCACCAAAGAGGTCCCTTGTGTACGATAAGTTGGAGGATAGTTGGTATTTGAATGACCTGTCTAAAAATTGCTCATAAAAACAGAAAAATAAAATTCTAGTAACATACCTGACAAAATACACGAGATTATTTTAGTCTCCCACTGATATTGTCGATCAAAGAGAACGGGACTGTTGTAAACGATGTGAACAGTCGGGTTGCACTTTAGCTTCAATCATTAGAACACAATTAAGATATTTGTAATCATCGTCTGTTGTTCCGCATAATACAGTTGACTAATATGCGTATACAACTGGAGAATTCCACTTTGCTCATCATGTACATGTTTCTTTTGATGGGATGCCATGAAGTTTGTGAATCAACCACACGTGTCATCCAAAGCTGCATGTGATAAACGATGACAATCCACCGATTGTATTCTGGGTCCAGGTAATAGTCATTAGAGGCACAGTCACGTTCCATGGGTCTTGAGTGAAATACGTTTATCATAGTTATCCAGTGAACAGGTGACTCGAGATTTCGCCTCAATCAAAAATAGCTACAGTGTATGATAATAACAAATAGCTTTATGCATTAGAGCAGAAGAAAATAGTTCATTTTCATGTAACTTCAGATCAAGCCAACACACCGAATTGTATTTGCATGGTTACGAAGGGTACCTTAACCATCAAGGGAGATTCCGTCACACAAGATAGTTCATTTACTTATTTATGAATGAAACTTATCTGTCTATCTATCTTATCTATGCTCTATTACAACTGCACCAACAGCTAGCTGATAACGGTACATTACGCGGTCGCATCCGCCAGAATTTAGATAAAGTGCTCTTTCGGCATAGGTAGATCAGCTTTGAGTTTTTATCTGAGGTGAGAAACTGGCTTCAATCGGGTAAGGTTTATTTCAATCACGAAGGAATCAAATTTTCTAGTGATTGCTATCACTACTCTCTCACCCCAACACATACAGCAGCACCAACTTGCGCAGGAACACCTTGACACCGGGACGATTTCTCATCTGGCTTTTCATCAATGCCGTCGTTATTTCGAGTGGAGGGAAAGCGAGTATAGTAAGATTTATTAGAACGGGGTTTTTTACAATCCTTTCTTGCTTTTTTACTACATACTAAGTGAATAAACTACAAAACTTTAAAGTGGACGTTTGTAAAAAAGGAAACTTGCATCGAGCTTGTACAACATTTTTCAATCAAACATTAAAATTTGTCAACGCGTTTACTAAAAAACAATTTTTTCAACCTAAAAGTGTTGCATCAGCAGTAAAGGAGGAAGAAAAAACAGTTATTGAACCAAAAAGACAACTCGATTTTTTTATCCAAATTGTGATTTGTTCACTGAGCATATAAACTGCGTTCTTTTTCTGAAAACCAAATAACATCAGCTTTTCATTAAATTTTAGATATTGTTTAGACCATTCTAGAATATTTACTATGGATGTACATCTTCTGGAGGAAGAAATTCCCGTGGAGTCGGTGCGATGGTTTTATGGTCGGGGCAGTGCACACGCGAACACGTGGAAAGCGTTCTGTGGTGCTGATTCAATCAATATCGAGAACGGATTCCGAGCTATGCGACACAATAGGGACGCTTCTTTCGACGGCAAAGTGGTTGTTCGTGCTGGTCTATTTGAGGTCGACCTGCATACTAATTTGTGTAATCCAATATTTTGGCCCGGAGAGAAACGTTCTCAGCACTCGGGTAAGAGAGATTGGTGTACAACTCCTATCCAACGTGGTCTGTGGTTCAACAAGATCAACTGGGTCCCGCTCGATTTCACGTTAGCTTCACTCATTGAACAGGAGCATGTCAGAATTATGATTCCCAAGTTGCGGGAATTGCAAAACTCAAAAAAATCAAAAAGAAGTAAGCCTGATAGATATGTCAAAACAAACCATTATTTTCATCCCAGCCATACACAAAATGAACCACGAAGGACACAGCGTCAACTGGACAGCAAACGGCGAAGTCTTCCTGGTAACCAGATTAGCCCAGCCATTCGCGCACGTCAAACTGCAAGGAGATTTAAGTGAGTCCGATAAAACCACTCACGAACAGTCAATTTCATTATTTTTGTTTACCAGGCAGTGTCCCAATCGCGCGCGGATTCCACCGTATTGCGAGCCCAACGGATTGCAAACCACCAGTCACACAATTGGTCTTTGTCGTCCACGGCATAGGACAACAGCTGGCCAGTATACGCCATGAATGTTCCAAGTAAGTAAATAATAGTGTCTTCAAATTCTCTGGAGAACCTAGTGTTCGATGTCCGTATACACGCCATAACTGGGTTACATTAGAATAGTATTATTGTTTTCTGGAAGATATCTTTATTGCACTTTGGGGAATACCACTTCAAACATATTGTCTAACTTTAGATTCCGCGCCTCTGTTTAACCGGCTTTTTATCCTACAAAAATGTTTTAAAATGAGCTTTGGCATAGACGAAGGAAAGTGGCTTTGTTAAAATATAATCCTCTAAATTGTAACTACCCCAACCCTTTTGTCATTTAATGTTTGCAAAGTTTAGCAGAGACTGACAGTCAATTTTTTCGTCAAACTACTAGTTAAATCAAGGTAAATCAAGTGGATGCTTTATGTAACCTGAAGAAGCAAACTTCTGCTACCGATACGAAGGTAAATAAATACACTATATCGAATCTAGTTGAAAGTCATATATCGAAGGTTGATCAATGCAAGACATTTGTTAGTTTGGATGCGATTTGTTCAAGAGTACTTAGAAAATGAGCGACTGAAGAGCAGTAGGCCTTTAAACGAACATAGACAAGCCCGGGAAAGAGGTGGAGAAAGTTTCTCTAAGTTTACGGCGAAGAGTGGGTTTTGTCTGATTTCAAAATTCAAAGGAATTTGAGACATGCATTCGAGTATTTAAAGACAGTAAACATGATAAGTTTGCGCACAAGGAAAACCAATGTACGTAGAATGATGTTCGGTAGAGCTAGATATAAGTCTGAATCCGTGATACCAGTAGAACAGTCGGCCGGAAGAAACGAAAATTTTAATAAGATGTAGGTGGATGGAGAACAATATGAAGTCGTAGTCATAAACTGGCAACCTTCTTGCTCTTGCGAATACTGTATTGATGTGATCCAACCGTATAAGTTTACCGTTAACCGTTGCAAAAAAAACAGTTAATACTAGAGGTTCTCATAATGAGTACATTACGAATAAGAAAACCAGGTTTAACCGAACGGTACAAAGTCCCAACTGTCCTTCGGAGAAAACTTGCAGCTCTCTAACAGAACAATGATATGAACCAGTGACATTAGCAGGTAACCTCCAGGATCTGCTCAATGCCTCAGCAAAGATAGCCTATCTGAATTTCCTACCTTCAAATTGGAGCTACCCTTAGCCCTCTAGTTCTGTCTACTCTTCCATCAAAATGAGAGACCCAAGGACAGCAAATAAAACCTCCGGGTTGAATCCTTTGAACTACTGAACCAGAAGCAGAGGGATGGTCGGTGATTCCTTGGTCATATGAAAAATCCTTTGACAAAAAGTTTTTGCTATACATCCATCTTAGTAGATGTGTTTGATTTTTAAGCCTAAATTGTTAATAGCAAAATTTATGATTATTTATATTCGCCTCAAATGACCCCAAGTTCCGTGCACTCAAGTGACAGAGCGTAAATTTCCGTTGCTTAAAGTCCTCGAAAATTATTTCTGAGTATGAACGATTTTTCTGAGGAGTTTTACGTGTAAACATATATATTTTTTCACATACGTCTGCTTATGGGCACGATACTGTCACATTGCTCCTGCCAAGATGATTGAATTTTCTCGGGGAATTAGCAAACAGCTAACCAAAACCTAACCCACGGGGCAGCAGGGCGGTCCTGGAAAACCGCAATCCATAGAGGGTTGGTGTCCAGTTTATCGGACCTAACACACTGCGTACGGGATAAAGAGTTCAAGGAGCCCAATAAACCTCGATACCGAATCGAGTCGGTGACCACTATCACGACCAAGGCCAGGATGGGCGTGGTTTGTACGCCTCTTCTTGGATAGTTTGGAATCAGGGTTTTTCAACCAAATCACCTAAGTGAGCTGCCAGTAACTACGCTCGGTAATCAGCCATCTGTGAGGAAGTATACAACAGAGACCGTTTCATCATTATTCTGCAAGGTAATGACGAGAGCTGGTATTCTCAGGATTGCTATCACTTCCCTATCAATGACAACTAATATGGGTGGCCCTCTCCAATTTTCAGGGCTTAAATTACCGATCGTCATTAATGGACAGGATATCGTCCAGACGATATCAAGTTCTTATTTTCATAGGTAGTTTATTGAAATGGATATAATTCAACTATTTTATGTGCTTTTGAATCCAAAACATTCACTTTGCTTTACTTCAGATTTCGAAAAACCTGTTTGAAAGTAATCAAGAAACGCTATCCTAAACTCAGCAGTGCTGAACAACGAATCGAGTTTATCCCGGTGGATTGGCGTAGCCCGCTGAACTTAAACTGTTCCACTTTGGAAAACATAACCATCGGTCAAATGCGACCGTTGCGTATGTATATTAACAACTGCTTTATCGATGTGCTCTACTACACGAGCACAGTGTATCGAGTGGAGATCATGCGAAGTCTCAGCTGGGAACTTACGCGGTTGTTCAATCTATTTCTACGGCATAATCCGCACTTTCTGCAAAAAGGTGGACAAGTGTCGGTTTTGGCTCATTCGCTTGGCACGGTTATCATGCACGACATTCTTCGAACAACAGATACACCAGTTCGATTAGTTGACCCGGATTCGCTCAATGCAAGTAGTGAGGATTGATATTATTTCATTTTATATTGTCCAATACGTTTTTCTTTTCAAGCTAGATGTATTTTGCCGAAACATAGCAGAGCTTATGAAACAAGAATAAAGTTGATTAAAATTTAAAAGAATAGATGATATTCGATAGGCACACTTTCAAATGACGTTTTTAGAACATCCAGTTCTGAGTTATGTTACCTAAAAATGTCAGTTATAATTGCATCCATTTATACGGTTTTCCCATAATCCAGTTGTTGCCAACAAAAATTGTCTTCATATATGCGATTTAAATAAACATCCTCGGGATTTATGAAACTAAAAGCCATCAATCGGACACCAACTATGGTCGAATACAGAACAGTACATAGAAATCCATAACCTTCCCTGCTATTATTCGATGTGGTGCAAGACTGGTCAATATCACAGCTATACTCAATTAGAATAACAAACGAAAACAATCTTGTTGTATTTTTGATAGAAAAAGTACATTGTTGTGGATTCTTGTTTGAAAGCCATAGGTTTATGAGCTTGTCATGGTCATTTG